GCCGGGGAAACTTGCTGGATTGCTGCCCGACCGCAACTCTGCCAAGGAGGACGGAAGCGGGCAGCTCACCAGAGAGCGACTAGTTACGCCCCATGCAAGACCCTCCTCCCGTGGACTTGGCGAGGGCCCGGAGGGTCCCTCAAGCAGCGCCTTCGGCGGGATCCGGGGGCCAGGTCTTCCGCACGGGCCCCTCCCGCGGATCGCCGCCCCGCGCCGCCTTACCTTTCCGGCTGAGCATGGTCCGGGAGGGGGCGCACCTCCTCCTGCCCACGCCCGCCCCGCGGCAGGGAAGGCGGCGGGTGGCCGGCGGGCGGGCGGGCGAGCGAGCGGCGGCCGGAGGGATCGCCCTGGCCGGACCGCGGGATGGAGGGCGGGGAAGGGGAGGAGGCGCAGGGCGAGGGGCCGGCCTCCCACTTTCTGGGCGGGATGGGCGGCGTGGCTCGCCTGGCCAGCTGGGCACGGCGCTGCGACCGGCCTCCCGCCAGCCCCTTTTCCGAGGGGCGGTGGCGACTCGTTCGCTCCCGCTTCCCCGCAAGATCATGAGGACTAGCGGCACCAAGCCGCCCCTTGTTCCTTCTCTTGCGCGGGAGCCGGCAGCCAGCCGCCGGCCGAGGAGGAGAGCGCCCGGGCAGCACCAAGGGCGTTCCGGGAAACAAACTCGCGGCGGCCGGGGGCGGGGGGTGGGGCGGGCCCGCGGCTGCCGAGCGGGGCGGGGAGCCGGAGTCGCAGCCCTTGGCCGGCCCGCCCTCGGCCCGCAGGCGGGGAGCCGACGGGCAGCACCTGGAGCCCCCTTCCCCTCAGCCCGCGTCCCGGCCAAACTTTTTCTCCCGGTCCCACGGACGAGTCCCACCCCGCGTCCCGCGCTTTGTTAAGGCAAGGGGGTGCAAGCACCGCCCCGTCGGCGGAGCCGGAGCGCGCACGAAGCGAAAGCAAGGCATCCGCGGAAAAGGTCCGGACACGTGTTTTCTGCTGCCTGTGAGAATGGCATTTAGATCCAGGCTCGATCCAGGGAGAGAGTTTGTGAGAACTCCTGGAGCATAAAAACTAGAAGGGAACCGACCACAGCTGGGGGGGTTTAATTATCAAATAATACTTGCCAAAAGAAAATTAAATTTCAGTCAGAGACGCTCATGCCGCATCATTTGCTTCAGGGGAAACGGGCAGCGCACAGGGCTTGAACCCGGAGCCGTGAGGGTGACCCCTGAGCGCCTTCAAGCCTTGGGCATGCCGGGCTTTGAAGGCCGTTTTTCTTCCCTTACCACACGTGGGATCTCACCTCTGGCAGCATCCGGATGCGTTTTGCATCCTCCACACCAAGAGCAGTGAGGCGATTTCAGGAGCTGAACTTTGCGTGTTTCAGGTGCAGAGCTGTGTCCTAAACACACACAGCTGGCCCAGCGGGAACGCACCACCGCACCTGACCTGCTCTTCTTTCCTGGGGGTCCCTTGAAAATGTGGGAGCACAGAGCAACTGAGCACTTAAATGCGGAATTGCACCCCAAACCCGTGCACAGAACTGGATTCCAGCCTCGTCCTTTGGAGGCTGATTTCTCATCATCGCGTGTTGTGCAGTTTTCTGCTCTTCCTCTTCAAATGGACAGAGAGCACATGCCGAATGGCGTTACTGCGGTGCCTGCGCCTCGTGTGGGTTTCATCGCCCATGTTGAACTCCCGCTGCCTGTTCCGTTTGGACTAACTTGGCTTGGCCAAAGAGGAAGCAAATGGGCACGGTGAGCCACTGGCCTCTTTCCCAACGTGAAGCAGATGAACCCAGTTCCGTGCATATATAAGGAGCATCTTTCCCTGTGAAAATCCAGCAGTTTCTACATTGCACCGAGTTACATGGTGGCGTTCCCTGCCTCCCATGCACACCATTCGATTCAGCTCAGCTCCAGGCTCTCCATCGCTACACCTCGCGCTAGCATGTCCAGTCACCTTGCTACTAGGCTGGAAAGGCAAGGGCCTACAGCCCCATGGAGGACCCCACGTGCAAGCAGAGGAGGGGGCTGGACGGCAGGTTCCTCCCTTCCAGCCTGGCCAAGTAAGACAAAGGGCTTTGGCGCGCACAGAGGTAAGGCGTGCACCACAGAGCGCGCTCGCCTTTGCGATTGAGGGCGTCCTGAAGCCATCGGACTGGCCACTAGACCGACGTGCTGCCTGCCCCTCGGCCTGGCCCATTCTTGTTCTTCTTAGCCATGGCTGAACACAGGCAGAACTGGGGTCTGGCATCAGAGAGAGACAGGCTTGAATTCACACTGGCGTGCTCTCCTCCAGCTCCTTTGGTTTCAGATTCCCTTTTGCTCAAGTTGGATAGAAACCTCATTGCTATAACTGGATCTCCAAGCAATGTTTGCAACAAGTTCCCAGCTCCAGTGTGTTCCCTCTGATGTAGCAGACAAGGCAGAATATTGTGCTGCTATGGTCACATAGATGGCAAGAGGAGGCGGGGACGGCGGAGGGTGAGGTGGCTGGTGGAGTCACCGAAGCAGTCGGCCTGCGCTTAGGTGGACTCCGGGGATGGCGGAGGCCAGGAAGGCCAGGAGGCGATGGTTTTCCCAGTTGCAGTGTATGGCTGTGAAAGCTGGACCATAAGGAAGGCTGAGCGCCAAAGGACTGAGGCCTTTGAATTGTGGTGCTGGAGGAGACTCCTGCGAGTCCCTCGGACCGCAAGGCGATCAAACCGGTCAGTCCTAGAGGAGATCGACCCTGACTGCTCTTTAGAAGGCCAGACACTGAAGATGAAACGCAAATACTTCGGCCACCTGATGAGAAGGAAGGACTCCCTGGAGAAGACCCTGATGCAGGGCCCAACTGACGGCAAAAGGAGGAGGGGACGGCAGAGGGTGAGGTGGCTGGATGGGGCCACTGGGGCAGTGGGTGTGAGCCTGAGTGGACTCCGGGGGATGGTGGAGGACAGGAGGGCCTGGAGGAACATTGTCCATGGGGTCACGATGGGTCAGCCGGGACTTCGCGACTAACAACTAATTGTCGTATTCACATGATGCATGTAGGACTTCTCTGGGAAGGACTCAGTCATTAGAGATAACGGCAATTCAGTGGAGAGGAGGCCGTTGCACAGCAGGGCAACTGGTGTCAGGAGCCGATTCCGGAGGATCTGAGCCCAACAGGCAAGGCTTCATCGTCACCTGACGGCACCTGCAATTTGGGTCGAACTCTGCCCCAAGGTCCCGCTCATTGGAGAAGCTGTCAAGGGCACATGTAGCTCCAGCCTTGGTATCGCGGCGGTGGATTCGCCCGCAGAACCAGAGGGAAAACTTGCCCCCTCTCCACCTGCAGTCCTCAGACCTGCCCAGCTGCAAGCCGTCGTCTTACTCTGGCAGGGAAACGGCAGCTGGTTTGCATTACTCTCCATGTGTGACTGGCAGGACGGAAAGACCCTTTTCCTAAACAGCCTGAGGGGCTCGCGGAGTGGTGAGGAGCTCGAGTTCTGCATGGCCGCTGGGCTGTGGCTGCCCAGGGTGCCCAGGAGCCGCTTGCTTCTGCGATGCCCCACCCCAGAATCAAGCCCTGCCTTAACTGCCCAGCCCACTGAACAAGGCCGAGGACAGGGGCGCGTTGGAGGGCGATCCTTCCTAGGGGCGTGCCCAAAGCTGGAGACGGAACAGCGAAACCACCGCCACCACCTCCCACGTCTGGGAGCTGCTCATGGCGTGCCCTGCTGAAGCAACGTGAGCCACTGACCGGGACGAGAGGAAAGATGAACGGGCATTGCCCTTGGCTGCAGCTCATCCCCTGCCCTTCCGGCACAGCTCCCCGGGAGTCCCTTCTCCGCAGACGGACCCGGCGGCCACGTGCTTCTGCTGCACAATGCCCTGTGCTGACCCCGTGGTGTCGTGCACGGCTAGGGGGGTGCCCCAGTGTGCAGCGGGAAGCGAGGACTGGCCCCACGGTGCTTCGGCCCCCCAGCCTTTTGCAGGGGGATCGCCTGACCTTTGGCGCAAGCATCTCCCGGTGTGCACCACCCGGAAGGCACTGCGGTGGACTCCAGTGCAGCTCTCCCCCTCTGAAGACGGACAAGCGAGGCCAAGCTCCGTGTCAAACAATTATATTTATAGCAAAAATAGGCTTTTACTCTCTTCCCCACACAATGTTCTGTCCCCCCCCAAACATTTACACAGTAAACAGGTCCACTGCTGCCGCGTGCTGGGCCAGCCCCCGACCTCCTGCTGCCCCCACCCTGGTGTGCTCCCCTCCGGCCGGCGCCCCCCGCTTTGCAGCAGGCGCTGATCGCTCCGGTGCCCCTGCAGCCAGCACGCCAGGCGGCCCGGGCTGCCACCCGCCAGCAAGGGGGGTGCTCTGCTGGCCTGGCAGAATGGCGTGTGCTGCCCCAGAGCAGAGTGCCCAGTTCTGCCAGCCCACAAAGATGGCCCTGAAGTTGCCGGCCGAAGGGAGCCCCTCCCCAGGAAAGTTCCCAGCGCTCACACACGCGCTGCGAGGAGGAGGAGGAGGAGGAGGCCGCCCGGCCGCTGGAGCACAACAGGCGCGACTGGGAAGCTCGCCAGGGAGGGCTGGGGAGCGGAGGATCCGGGTGGCCCTGGGGGAGGCACTGGGGGGGGGGCAGCTTCTCCAGCGGCAGCTCAAGCTGGGAAGTGCCGGGAAATGCAGCTTCCTTGCCATGCAGTGCGAGGGCAAACCCAAGTGGGTGCGGAGTGGAGTGGAGCGGAGGAGGGCATGGGGTGGGCTGCCAGGCTCATGGGGGTGCGACAAACAGAGGCAGGGCAGCAGCCACCCAGGGGAGGCTCTGGGTCCCCGTGAGGGGAGGGGAGGGGGGGGGGGGAGGGGGAGGCATCAGCTGACTACTGGGAAGGAGTCTGGGGACCCAGGGGGCCTGTGCAAGGGAAGGGAAGGGAGGGGGGGGGTGGGATGGGGGGGGAAGGGAAGGGAAGGGAAGGGAAGGGAAGGGAAGGGAAGGGAAGGGGTCCTGCAGACCAGCCTTCTCCAGCCAGCTGCTGCTGCGTGCCAGGAGTTGAAGTCCGGTGCAGGAAGGAGCGGTGTCGTCTCCCTGAAGCCAAGGCACATCTTCCGACGAGTCGGGTGGAAGCGCCCGCACTGCGAGCAGGAAAGCCCGCCTGAGGGGGGGGCGCGAGTGCATGACAGATGCTGCATGGCCACGGAGACTTTGCGGGCTGACCGAGGAGCACGGCGCGTCCCCTCCTGGATGCACATGGCCCCCTGGGCAGGCACACTGGCCCGCAGGAGCGGCAGAAGCAGCACCCAGCCGCAGGCGTTCAGCGATTGCACGTGACGACGGAGACCGTGGGAAGGATCTCTCTCTCTCCTTGCTTCTCGGAGCAGAAGGGAAAGCGGTCAAGTAAACTTGGTGGGCAAGTGCCATCCTAGTCCGGGGGGCGGGGGGGGGACTGGCGGCCACTAGGAGACCATGTAGTGAGTGATGGCACGGAGTGCGTACAGCAGCTCTGCTTGCAGCCGAGCCTCCAGGACGAGGAGGTTCACGTGGACCTAGAGGAGGGGTACGCGGCGTGAGACGGGGCCCTCCGGTGCATCGGGGATGCGCGGAGCGCCGCTGTGGAGAGACGGGCAGGGCGGAACAGGTCCGGCATCTCAGTCGGGAAGCGTGCTCGCGCACGCCAGGTTGCGAACCACCAGGTGGGCTTTGCGCGGAGAGGCGGAGCCCCGCAGGAGGCACCGGAGGAGGAGGCGGCAACAGCCGCACTGCACCCGGTGCACGGAACGCGTCTGCCCAGGCAGGCGTCGTGGGCATCCTGGCTTCGCCGCGGCGGCCGAGCTGGGGCTGCACAGAGCGCGGGGCGAGAGCCACCCGCTGCACGAATCAAGGCTCCGGAAAGGAGGCGCGGGAGAGGCAAGCATCTCCCATCTGCACCCCGAATCCACTGAGCTGGACTCCTGGCGGTTGCTCTCACCTGGGCACCTCCCCTGCTAGAGCGGGAGCCTCTCCGGCCAGCTCCCTCCTGCCATCAAGGGCAGCCAGAAACTTTTCGGGAGCCCACAAGGTGGCACGAGAGCATCCCACACCCAGTCCGGCCAGCCCCGGGCGGCTCCCCACCTGCCCAGAGTCCCGCGGCTCCGACCTTTTCACTGTGCTTGAACTGCTTCCAGAACCGCTCAAACATCTCTGGATTCATCTTTTCCGGGGAGCAGGTCACAGTTTTTATGTAGAGTTTGAGTATCCGCTCCAGGAAGTGGTTCACCTCCGCATAGTCGTAATCGTCGTACCTGGGAGGTGGGCCGCAGCATGTCAGCGTGCTTGGAGTCGTCGTCCCCCTGCCCCCGGGAGAGGCCCAGGACAGGGACGCCCCAGGCAGCCTCCCCTTCCTCGGCCAAAGGCTCAGAAAGCCACCGAGAGGGAACAGGCTCTGCGCACAGGCCTGATCCACACACAACCCCAACCCGCACGTAAAGCCGTGCAGGGTTTCTCTACTGCGTGATCGAGCCAGCGGCAGCCTGCTTTTCCAGCCCTGGGCCCTTTCCCTCCCCCTCGGCCTACACATCCCAAATGCCTTGGCAACTTGACTGTGCGCTCTTTTGTGCCACTCTTGTCCACCGCCTCTCCAGCCTGGCAAAACATCGCCGGTTCAAGTTTATGTATGATCCCCCCATGCTTTAGAACCCCCGCAGTTCATAACCCAACAACAACAATATTGTTATGTTCTTAAATCCTCAGTTTTCTTTCTGGGTTGTTTGTAGTTAATAAACCATGGCTTGTTCACTTGGCTGGGTTTGCACGTCACAACAACCTACCATTCAACAACCCAAGGGTTGGGGGGAAAAACCCCTTACGTTAACCTTAGGTCTGAACCAGGTCACATTCCGGTTTGCTTTCCTAAAGTGGTCTGATGAAAAACCCCCATCTGCACTCTGGAGACATGAGCTCAGGGAGTGTGGTGGGGCAGGGAAGGCGCCCAGGGCATGGCAACGGGGCCCAACCCCGCAAGATGAGCAGCTGGCCAGCCCGGAAGATGGAGGGCTGGGTACCTGATGCCGAACATGCAGTGGATGTAATTCCAGATGCCGCGCTTGAAGGTGGCGTGTTCGCAGCCCTGCCGCTTGGCCATCGAGCAGCTCTGGAGGGCATCCACCTTCCGGAACTTCTCGTCCAGCAGATGCCCGATGTCCGAGTACAACCTGTTCACCAGCGAGAAGCCGTGGTCTTCCCAGGAATAGTCCTGCAAGAGAGGGAGCAGGAAGTAGGCAAGGCCGGGCCGGCGGAGGCTTGCTCCCCCCGCCGGCGGAGGCCCGGCGGGGCCCCGTCTGCGCTGCACCCGCGCAGCAGCCCCGCGCGCCCCGTGTGCCTGGACGGCGGGCCCGCGCCGGCAGCAGCCACGCACCTGCGCACGGAAGGTCTGCAGCTGGTCGCCACCGCACTGGGCAAACTCCTGGTAGCCGAAGCCGGGGTCCTGCACGTAGCACGAGAGGTCCACGGCCCCGCAGAGTTCGCCGCCAAGACCTGGGGCGAGTGCGGGAAGCGTGTCGGAAGGGCAGGAGGAGGAGAGGAAGGGGCCGGCGCCGCGGGCCGGCGTGGCGCCCAGAGCAGAACCCGCGGCCGGGGCTGCTCGCCTCCGGCCAGGCCCAGCCCCTGGGGCCATACCTTCCTCCCGGTCGGGCAGGCGCAGCTCTTCCCGGGCCTCGTTCTCCACCTGCAGCCGGTGGAAGCGCTCCCGGAGGCACTCCAGCTCCACACAGGAATCCAAGGACTGCCGGCGGGGGGAAAGAAGAGCAGAGACGGCGGCTTGCTGGGGGGCCCAGGCAGCCACGGCCACGCGGAGCCCACCGCCAGTGGACGCGCCCCTGCCCTGCCCGGCCCGGCCCGGCCCGGCCCTGCCGCGCCGCCTCCTCCGCCCAGAGCCTGCGCCTTGTCCACATACCCGCTTGCGGTTGAGGTGCAGCAGCTCCTGGCCGCCGCTGTGGCCGACCTCGCAGAAGCACAGGCTGCCCGGGAGGGTCCGCCTCAGCACGCCCCGCCCCTCGGGACAGGCCTCTGGCTCGCAGCCACAGCCAAAAGCAAAGCTGGCCAGCGCGTGGTAGTGGGCCAGCAGCACGACGGCGTGGACCAGCTCCGCCAGCGACCAGCTCTGCTCGCTGATCTTCAGCAGCTTCTGCAGGGCATCACAGAAAGACACCTCTGATGCTGCCAGCGGCCCCTCTTCGCAAGCCGGACCCTCGCGCTCCAGAGCCAGAGACCCTCCCATCCTCTGCTGCGTCTCCCCCGTTAAACTCATTCCAAGGCCGCGTCTGAGTTTGCGCTTCATGCCCGCTTGGTTAGTGTGCGCCTGGGCCAAAGAAGCCGTCTGGAACCGAAATGCTGGAGCCAAACGGGGAAGAGAAGCCTGGGACGGGGGCCGTTCAAAGCAGGAGAGAAAGAAGGCCTGCCTACATTTTCCAGGATTTTGCTCTCAGCCCAGAGGAACTACAATGAAAATGGGGTTCCCACCACTGCCCCTCAGCCGGGGGGAGGAAACAGCACGGCCCAGTGGCACTGGGTGGCCTGGAACACAACCCTATTCTGCAGTGGCCGCGCGAGACCAGGCTGGCTTGCCTGGGTCTCTGCAGTGGGGCAGATTCCACACGGGCCCCTTCGCGCCCCGCAATGGCCCCATAAAGGGGAGGAGCGGCGGGCAGTGCGGTCTGCAGCGCCGGGCGAGAGGGGGAGAGGCAGCAGCTGCGAGCACCACGGCCGTGGCTGCCCCCACAAACCGGGCCAACCGAAGGGCGCACGCGGGGCTCACCCCCCCCCCGCCCTTCCACACCATTACCTCAATGTGCTCCTTCCCAATGAGCCACGGCCGGTGTGCCAGGATCTTGTTGATCTCACTGAGCTTCCGGAGTTTGGGGGGGATGTAATCCAGCCCTCGGAGCCAATGGGGGTCACCGCCCACTCGCAGGAACTGCAGCAGGTGGAGGTTCACCAGGTACTGACACCGGTGCCGGGCCGCGGCCTGGAAGAGATGCGCCAGGCCCACTGAGTCTCCGATGGCGAGGACTGGGCGCCCCCCAAGCGCGGTCCCGCTGCAGCCATGGAGGGCCTGCTCTCCAACCCCAGCAAGCAAGCGTGGGCAGTCATGCAACGGGTGCAGCTGACTGGGCTCCTTGCTGAATGCGGCGCCTGGGGAAGGTGCTTTCCCCGCTCCCCGAAGAAGCTTCCTTTAGCTCGAAAGAAGAGCTCCCTACGCCGGGGGGCCACTCGGAAGAGCCCCGCAGCCGACTCAGACCGAGCGCAGGGACCCCCACTTCTGGTGCGCTCCTCGCAGGGCGCCTGGGGCCCACCTGCTGCCCACGGGAGCCCCCCCACGGGATGGGGCGGCAACTGGGGTGCACTGCCAGCTGCCCTGATGCCAGTGGCAGCTTACAGCCGTCGGAGCCGGGAGCCGCCGGGAGCCTTCTGCCCCAGGGATCTGCCCACTCCCCCTTTGAAGCCATCCGGGTCGGTGCTGGCACGACATCCCCCGGAGGTGCCTTCCGTAGTTAACTCTGCACCGTGTGAAGAAGTCCTGCTTTCACCCACCCTGAATCCTGCCGATCTGCTTCACAGGGGGAGAGAGGGGGCATCTCCCCATCTCCCTTCCCCACACCATGCACGATTCTCCACCACGTCTCCCCTCAGGTGCCTTTTTTCAGCCAAACAGCAGCCTCCCCCCGCCCCCCGGGATCGGCGGCAGCCGCCTGAGCACCTTGGCCGCCTGGGATCCTCGGGTGCTGGCGGCTGCAGCAGGTGAGATGTCATGTGAAGCACCTGGTCATGCCACCGTGAGCACAGCGTAGCTCCTGAGCATTTGGCGTTTGGCGGAGTGGAAGGCGTGGGCAACGGCAGGCCACGCGAGCCCGGAAGCTGCGCCTCTGTCCAGGTGCTGGGCGGGCCTCGGTTGCACGAGCAGGAAAGTGGAGAGAGCCGGTGCCGCCGAAGGGGCGCCGGGCACTCACCATGATCGCGATGTAGTGGCGGCAGTCAAAGGGCAAGGGACCGTCCATGTGCAGCAGGTAATGCTGCATCCGAAGGAAGCTCTCCAGGTACTGGGGGTGGTAGCCCATCTGCTGGGCCACGGCCTCGAGGCGCCCCCTGCTGGCCAAGGCTTTCACGAAGAGCAGCTGGGGGGTCCGCTCCTTGTCGCCGCTGCTCATCTTCGCTGCCTGGGTGCAGAGGGAAAACAGGAGGAGGGAGGGAGGGTCTTGGTGTGCTCCGGGCAGCTCTTCCGGGGTGCTCTTCCGGGGTGCGGAGAGCGGGAAGGCTGGTCGAGCTGGCCTGTGGCTCCCACGGAGAAAGCGCGAGCGCAGAGGGCGAGCTCACGGAGGGGGCGGGCCGTCCCGGAGAAGAGGCTCCCTCATGTCAGCAGAGAGCAGGGCTGGCCGGCGGGGTGCAGGCGTGTTTCAGCTCAAGGCCCTCTTTGGGGCGGAAATCCATGCAACCGCTGCCCTGCCCCGCCCCCCCCCGGGCGCTATGGAGGGGCAGCAGCTCGTTGGCCTGCCAGCGTGCTCCTCCCCACCATTGCAAAGTAAAAATAAAAGCCAAGGAGCCACTGCTGGCTTGGTGACATGTTTTCCAAGCAGGCAGTTCGCTGCTTTCATGTAAAGCACAAAACAATCCTAAGCAGGTTGCTAGCACAATGGCCTTGCCCCTTTCCCACAAGCCTCTCCAAGCTGGGGTTCAGCCCCCCCCTTCCTGCATTTCCTCCCATGCCCAGAAACCTGCTGCTGGGACCCACCTGCTCGAGCCAGGCGGGTGGCCCAGAGGGCATCGATCCCCCTCCCACTCAGAAACGCCCAGGGCAGGGCTCCAAGCTCAAACTGCCACTTCAGCGCCCCCCGCCTGGACTTGAGGCTGTCCCCCGCGTCCAGCCATCTCGGCCATGTGAGCCCTTGGGGGCGGATAGCCAAACACGCTGGAAACGGGCACCGCTGACGAATGGTGCTGTCCCACGGCCCCAGAATGGCGGCCCCCGAGGAGGTGCGAAGCCACCGGGGTCCGCATGATGCCGGCAGGACGGGACCGTGCACACGCCCGTGCTCCTAAGAAGCCAGCCTGAGCCGCCGACACCGTCCGCCTGCTGAGGCCTTTCTCGGGGGGCTGTCTCCCTCACAGTTCAGGGGCTGCTCCACCAGCCCCATCCCTGTTAACTTCCAGCCACGGCACATGAGCGAGCGGGAGGGGAGGGAACGAGAGCAACCCGCAAGGGCAGCGGAAAACCACTGGGCTCCATGCATCCAGGCAGTTTCCACTCCTTAGGACTTGCAGGGCCTTAAAATAACATCCCTGAGCAATAAAATTAAAGCTGCATCTGAAAGCTGGCGGGGGGGGTGGCAATGTGCCAAGGGTTGGCTTCTGAAGAACTTCAGAGACTCCACCTGGCTGCCCTGACCAAACTCTCCTGCGGGGGCACCTGCTATGCTGCACCACCGGCAGTGGCAAGAAGAGGGTGGGCGGCGAGTTGTCCTCCAGGGAGAGCCAAGGACCGCCAGCCCCACTCCATCACCGAAGAGGAGTTACCTATTGCTGGGGGCGGCAGCCATGTTCCTCTCAGGGAAGGGCGCCCCAGGGAAAAGCGGAGAGGGGCTAGTAATATAGAGCAGGCCCCGGACTCTCCACCTGTACTGAATCTTCACGCTACGGCTCACCTGCACCTCGTGGCTTGCTTTCTCCCTGTTTTGTTTAAAGCTTGCACAGGTTTTTATATTGGGGTTTTATGAAGCTACTGCATTTTCCACTGGGAACTGGCCAGAGCGTTTCAGCTCCGGGGCAACAAGGAAAGGTAACCATCCTTGTTTGTTTGCTTCTTTATTGAATTTCTCTCCTGCATCCCTGGACCAGAATGGCTAACCCCTTAACCCCTTCCCTGCCAGGAAGTTAATCCTCCTAAGGATGCTTCTTGATGGGCTCACCTCAGTGAGCTCACTGCTCTCGCCGGCTTTGGGACACATGAAAGAACTGGGAACCTGGTGGAAGGAACAACATGGCTGATGGCCATGTGTGGCTTGGAGGCAAAGCACTCCTGGCAAGGGCGGGCGAGGTGCCCATCAGCTTTTACCCTCCGTGCCCAGCTTCTCCATCTGGGCACTACAAAGGACAAATTCCAGGGGGCTTCTCGTGTGATGGGAGCCCCCACCCCAGCGCCCATCCAGGCATGGGGGACAAAGAGAGAGAAGGGGCAAGTCGCAAACCAGTCCCTCTCTCCCGGCAAAGAGGGGGGGGCACTGGATGGACGGGGTGCGGGCTTCCTGCTCCTAGAGGCAGGGGCCGGGGCAGCCCCCCAAGCGGGCACGAGCCGCGGTGTACGGGAAGGGGCCCCGCACGCCCGGGACGAGCCAATGCAGAAGCCCGGGAGCTCACGCCCCCCTCTCGGAGCAGCCGCCGCCGGACCGCGGGCCGGCCCATTGTCTCCCCGCTCGCCCCAGCCGCAGCGGGCGAGCCGCAGCGCCCCCTACCGTCGCCACCGCCGCAGCGCAGGAGGAAAAGGAGAAAAACAAGTTTGATTGGCAGCGCGGGGAGGCGGAGGAGGAGAGCGGCAGCGGTGGCATCCCCGCATCCCTGCCTCCACCGCTCAGCCGGCAGGACAAAGGGAGCGCCGGCGAAGAGGGCGAGCGCGCCCCGGCAGCCCTCCCGCGCACGCACGCACGCCCGCGGGGCGGCCCGCCCGCCCGCCCCTCCCCGCGCCGGCTCCGTCCTCCTCGGGGGTCCCGGTCCCGAGCGCCCTCCCCTGCCCTCCCCTCCCCGCCCAGGCAGCAACGGCGCCCCCCGGGGCGGCGGGGCCAGGCAAGCCAAGCCAGAGGGGGAGCGGGCACCTGGGCAAGCGGGGCCGGGGAGCGCTGTCCGGGAGCGGGAGGGCTCTGGGCAGGCGCGGGGGCGCGCGCCCCGACCCAACGCGCCCGGCAGAGCATCCACTGGTCGGCGTGCCGCTGCCCGCAGCCCCGAGCCAGCCGCCCCCGAGCCGCCGGAAGACCCCCGGCGCGGTGTCAAGCAGCCTCCCCGGACGGAGGCGGCCGCGGGTCGACTGGCCGCGGGGCTTGCGGGCGCGGGCGGCGGGGCGCTCCGCAGCAG